AACCCTATAACCCTAAACCCTATAACACCATGCAGCTCAAGAGGCCTTGGGAGCTGCCTGGCTCTTCTCTGGGACGAGTTTCGCGCGTTTTCGAGGCTTGGAGTCCTTCACGTGGCGCTTGGCGGCAGGAAACGCGCCGCAATGGGAATGCCAGCAAGGCTGACAAGCACCGAAAAAGTCAGAGAGCTGCATTCTATCTGTCTATTCATACATATAGTGTTTTGTTTATAACTAATGTATGCATGTTTGCATGTATGCATGTATGTACTGTATGTATGCATGTTTGCATGTATGCATGTATGTACTGTATGTATGTACTGTATGTATGTATGTATGTATGTATGTATGCATGAATGCATGTTTGTATGCATGCATGTAGTTCCACCAATCTGACAGACCGTGCAGGTCGGGAACTCCTGGTTCGGCGCAATGTCTGCAGCCGGAACCAAGGAGGCCTCGCAAGCGAAGTGCGAGTGCAACACAGAGAGGACCCGAGTCGTCTCCGTTGGTACTGGAGACTACCCATAGGCTCCATAGTAGTGCCTTTTTGGGGGTATCTTATAGGATCCTACATATATATATACCACAAAAAGGGACTACGATGGAGCCTATGGGTACAGCTAGGATAAGTTACTCCAGGGCCTGGTGCCGTTTGGACCTGGGGTGCCAGATACTGGAGGTGAATTGTTGGAAGGTGCCATAGATCCAGAGAGCCCAATACCCCTTAATTAAGGAACATACCTTAAATCGTACATATTGGGGCCCCTATAGTTTAAGGTCTATTCCTTATTTAAGGGGTATTGGGTTCTCTGGGGATGCTTGAGCTCCGGACGCCACGGCATTGCCATTCACATGGCCGGCCTCTTTGTTGCTCACCTCTGCCTCCAACTCCCTCGCTTCGACATCCCATTCCTCCACGTCCACTTCCACATCATCCACAGCCTCCGGTTCCTCTTCCCCTTCTTCCAGCTCTACTTCCTCATCAGGGAGATACTCCACCTCCTCCTCAAGCTCCTCCAAGTTCTCCAAATCCTCCGGCTCCTCTTCGGGCTCTTCGCAGACGTCGCCATCTGGCTCATCCCAAGCCTGCGGCTGACGGCTCAAGATTGACCAAACACAGAGAGAGAGAGAGAGAGAGAGAGAGAGGGAGCGAGAGAGAGAGAGAGAGAGTTAGGAGAGAGCGAGGAGACTTAAATATATCGACATACAGACACACAAATAAATAGACTTACCGGCAGGCATACATGCATGCAACCATACATCCATGCATACAGAGTTACGGACAAACATGCGGACGCACAGACAGACACCCGTTCGGACGAACGGTACGCTGAGGCATTAGTGAACGGAAATTGCAGCACAAGGTGCAGACCTGAATGTGTAAGACGCAGAAGCACAGAACCCTCCCTCGGCCTGGTCGACGTCCACGGCTTTCTCTAACCACCTCTCGCCGTTGTGCAGGTACTGCTGCTCCTTTTTCGAAAGAGAAGTCTGCGGGAAGAACCAAAGTCACGAAGTCATTCAACGAACTTCCGCCGGCTCACGAAAGCATTGCAGCAAGCCTGCTCGAGGTCGGCATCGATCACGCCACCAAGCAAGGATTCCTGTGGATGACCCGAGAAAAAAGGGGGCGAGTGAGCCTCAAAGGCCCCACCTGCAAACGCAGCCGCTTCCGGATCCGCCTCCTCGTCCTGCGAGGTGAGTCCTTGCAGAGAAGATGGGAATCCTAGGAAGCCTTTTGTTTTTGAGGGATGTCGCCGGCTTGAAGGCCTGCCACAGCACAGAACCTCTCTGCATCGCTGTGACGTCGGTGACAGTGACATCGTTGTCGGCATCACCTATGCGCTGCGACGCTCGCGCAACAAAGGCCATGGTGGACATCGCGCTGCCGAGAAATGGATTTGGCCTTGTTCGAAGTGTTCAACTTCGTCATCGTCTTCAACCACCAGCGTCCTTGCTTCAGCAGAAGCGGGTCCCAGCGATGTGCAGAAACGAACTCTGCTAAGCTTTTGGCTCACCACGGGACCAAGCTTCTAGAAGGTCGGCATCGCGCACCTGCATGAGACACCTCAGACCCAGAGGTCCATCATCCATCTACCTTAATAAATAAGGGCCCTAAACTATGGGAATTATGGTATAGTCCTTCTTATGGATTACCCATAATATACGGCATATATCATCCATCACACCCAAAGTGCTCATCTCGACAATTCTCTGCTCAGGGAAGGACACCTGCGACCCTGGACTTCTGTCCAGGTGCGGCCGCTTGGCCTTCCGACTTAGGGTTTAGGGGGTTTAGGGGGTTTTGGGTTTAAGGGTTTGAGGGTTTGAGGGGGTTTAGGGGGTTTTGGGTTCAGGGTTTAGGGTTTAGGGGGTTTAGGGGGTTTTGGGTTTAGGGGGTTTAGGGTTTAGGGGGGTTTGGGTTTAGGGGGTTTGGGGGGTTTAAGGTTTAGGGGGTTTTGGGTTTTGGGTTTAGGGGGTTTTGGGTTTAGGGTTGAGGGTTTAGGAGCTGCGAGCCCCAGAGTCTTTCTGGGAGGCATGCGGCTGGTGCCTCTTCAGACCTGTCCACTGTCTTTGTGGCCATGGCCTTCCTTTTCAGACGGCCGTGACTAGCACCAGCGCCACCTGCAGCTGGAAAGAGCTCTTGGAAAGTGAAACGTCCCTAACCCCCCCCCCAGGTACCTACCATATGAGGCCCTAGGGGCTCTAGTACCCTATATAGTAGGTACCTGAGAGGTTAGGGAGTGATGAACAACTGCAGGCCAGTAGGCACCGCACCGTCACTCTCCACAGAGAGAGCTTTTCTGGCAACGCCATTCGTATGCTTCGGCGTTCGGCTCGAGGTGTCCTCGACATCACAAGGAAACACGATCCATGCAACCCGTAACCAGAGAGTAACCTTAAGAGTAAGCCGTAACTGCAGTACTTGACGCGAAGAAGTAGCCACCCTATTACCTGGCCTGCTGGTAACTCTTGTACCGCAAAGAATGACTTCAACAGCGACCCAACTCAGGGTGTCTCCTTCACATGCTCTTGAAGCGTCGGCATCTCAAGCTCCGCCCTGGGTTTTTCTTTGTGGTTTGATATCAGTAACATCAAAGCGTGCGAGGTGGAGTCCCGGCCTTTTGAAGTGCTTCCTTCCATTGGCGGCTGAAGACTTTAGCTCTGCTTCTCCGTTTCCCAGGGCCGGAGACAGGCGAACTCGCCCGCTGGGGCTACCCCTCAGCTGCGTGCCGGGGAGAGAGGCTTGGGGGCCCAAACTGAGTATAATATAATATAATATATAATCTAATCTAATATAATATCATATAATATAATATATAATCTAATCTAATATAATATAATATAATATATAATCTAATCTAATATAATATAGCATCATATAATATAACGTCTGGCCCTGGGGCCGCGACACATTTCTCTGCTCTCGTGTTCTCGGCGCAAGGAGCGACGAAGCCCCATCAATGTGGCCTTGTGGCGCAGCAGCGTCTTTATGCGGTTTAGGGTTTTGGGTTTAGGGGTCTAGGGTTTAGGGGTTTAGGGTTTAGGTTTAAGGGGTTTAGGGTTTAGGGTCCATGCAACTCCAAGCTGTCTCGTCGAGTGCACCCAAGCCTTCGTGACTTTTCCCTTTGCTTTGGCGCCTTGATGCGACTGCTATGAGCTCCTTGGAGACCTGACATAGAGGATACCCATAGGCCCTAAGTAGTTCCTTTTTGGGATTACCTTATAGGATTCGAAATATAAACCATAAAAAGGAACTACTTAGGGGCGTATGGGTAGAGGATACAGTACCCAGAAGAACGCTCAGGCAGGCAGGCTGGTACACTTCATGTCGGCCTTGCCTTCTGAAGGAAGGTCTCGCCACGTGGCGCAGGCATCGCAGCTCTACATAGCAATCATGATGTCTTCGACTTGGCAGATAGTGACATGTTCGCTTCAGGGCCTTTCTCGACTTAGGCACAGTCTCATGTGCTTTCCTATGTTGGGCACGGGTTCGAATGGCTGGACTCGGCCGAGCAATTCTACAATCGTGTTGCAGCATGCTACTCGTAGACATGTCTCAGTCTAAGCAATTCCGCTGGCAGAAGCATTGAGCTCAAGCAGAGAGGGAGACTCTGCTATCCTCAGTCGAATCTGCAACACCAGTACATGGACTTTGCACACAGCCGGCTTGTCAGAAGACAGAAAGGAATCTGGCCTGGTCTGTCGGTGTCTGTGGGAAGCTGAGATCTTGCGGCACACCTGGCAAGGTACGATGTTTCATGCTGAGGCAGCTTGCCTCGATCATGCACTCTGTTACTCTCTTGTAAAGGCGGGAGGACCAGCACTCAAAGGACTTCCGCCTCCTGATCAATGCGAGAGTCTTGACTTCGGCAGACGCCAAAAGCCCTGTCACCCCCACGTGGAGGCTGACATGGCCTTCTGCGGCAGGTGGTGGTGCACTGACCGTGGGATCCTCTTCAGAACTACAGGTGATGCAACTCAGCTATACACAACACGCCCCGTCGACTGAAACCTGGATGCTGATGCAACATGCCTGCCTTGTTCCTGCCGTCCACATTCCAAGCTCAACAACCGTCTTTCTGTTTGGAAGGGCAGATGACTGGCATCCAAGTCAAGCGGTATGTTTGCACACACCGATTCGTCGTTTCCATCTTGATGTTGTTGATTCGTTGCTTAGCTTAGGTGGTCTGTCATGCAACTCTTTGTACGACAGCGTCTGTTCCATGAGTTTAGGATTGCCGATGCTGCAAATGGCTCGTCAGAGTTTGTCGTGGCTGCTTATCCGATTCAGACACTCCAAACCAGTAACGACGGTTTAAGGCGTTTTGCCTAAACCCTAAACCCGTTTTGGCTTGTTGATGACTGATGACGTGGTGTTTGCGCCTTTCTTCCTGCGGCTCCCAGCTGGTCTCCTGCAGGAGACCTCCGTGATTCCTTGGTTGGCTCTGTGTGTTTGTCTGTCCCTAAGGCTCAAAATAGCCCAAAAGCCTTGTTATAGCATGGTCTTTGGGCCCAAAACGGCTCAAAATAGCCGAAAAGCCTTATTATAGCATGGTCTTTGGGCCCAAAAGCCTGAAACTATGAGTCCTTAGACCCAGAAGCCGTAAAATATGGTCCTTTAGAGCCTTAAGGGTGTAGGTCTCCTGGGAAAGCTTTGCGCCCCCATTTTGCCTCTTTGTTCCTTTGGGGAGCCCCTGGTTCTCCTGCGGGATCGCGCTGCTTTTTTGTGGGTAGGGGGTTTAGGGTTTATAGGCTTAAGGGGTTTAGGGGGTTTAGGGGTTTAGGGTTTAGGGGTTTAGGGGGTTTAGGTGTTTAGGTTTAGGGGTTTAGGATTTAGTAGACGGCGGCCCCGCACGGAGTGGAGGTTCCAAGATGCCAGCCCAGGGAGCCAGGTAGAATTCCACTCAGTGTTTGAGACTCAGTCGTGCTCAGTAGTACAGGAAATGGGGTTTAGGGTTTAGGGGCACCAGGGACCTCCGAACCTCGTTGTTCCACCAGAAGACTAATCGACAGGAGCTGTTACTTACAAAACTCCTGAGTCACAAAGAGTCCTCCACCGGCTCATCAACAGGCGCACCACCAAATGTTGGTGAAGCCGAGCGCGGCTGTCAGTGGGAGCTGTTCATCCAACTCAGCTTTGATATAGCCGCTACGTTGCGCACCTCCCTGTCGCCGCCTCCTTGTGGAGTAGCACCCAAGGCCTATCCAGCCGGTCAAACAATCGGCTCATGCAGCCTTGATGCTTCGGGTGGAGATCGGTACCGTACTGCTGCGAGCTTGCCTCACTGACCGCGTCCTCCTCAGTGCGCATCAAATGCATCAAGCATGCATCTCAGCCGCAAGAACACTGCTACAGCGGTTCCTGGAGACGCAACGACAGACCCATGCCAGTGTCCCTCGACGCTGGCAGCGGGGACAGCTCGCGTGCTCTTGAATCTTGAATCCTCAGGCTCGCACCCCTGCAGCCCGCGTGCGAGAGTCAGATCCTGCCATGGTGCTCAGCGCTGTTGGAAAGGTCCCTCGTGTCGTCTCTTCCGGCACCTGGCTCTGGGGACTGAGGATTGGCCGCCTCCGAGACCTCTGCTCCTGCCCAGTTGGGGAGTTCTGAAAAAATGCGCTTTCCGAGGCCGAGCCGAGCCCGACCTTGCTCCGCCGCGGCAGTGCTCAACTCGTCCCCTGCCTGTCCGCGCACTCGCTCCCGGAAATTTTGAGCCCAATTCCTAACCCTGCCCCAACTTCAACAGCTCCCGGGGCGCCGGAGTGGTCTCCGACTTTGCCGGACCCAGCTTCTGAGAGAGCTCAGCGAGCAGCTCTGCCTCACTCGCAGGGACTCATCAGATCATGGCTGTCGCAGTTTCTTTCGGGGCTGCTGGGATCTGGGGCTTTAGAGTTCCAGGGGTTAGAACCCAAGTTGTACCACATAACAGTCCTAAGATCATGTATGTGGAGCACACCTCGTAGATCTCTCGAATTCGATAACCCGGATCTTCATCGTCGTGATACTCGTCGTTGACGTCCCAAGCCTTCGCAGGCCGAAGCTCACGTAGTTGCGACACGAAGCAGCACTGCTGCTCCGAGTCGTACCCAGAGAGCCCAATACCCCTTAATTAAGGAATATACCCTAGATCATCTTATCGCCTCTATAGTTTAAGGTATATTCCTTATTTAAGGGGTATTGGGCTCTCTGGGTAGGCCCTTTCACACTCTCATGACATGTGGCTCGAGGTCTCATGTCTTCGGGGTATAAGGGGTCTAGGGCTGCCCGATTCTGGGAAGGCCACCCACATGGAAACCCCCACAACACACCCGTAGTAGTGGAAGCCGCCTCCTGCTGAGTTGCGTTTCTGCGCTTGGGCGGATAGTGCGCAGACCTCAGCGACGCTGAACCAGACAAGGTGCCAGTCCAACCCTGCAAAGCCCAGACATTGAACCTTCAAAACCCCTAAACCCTCAAACCCTCAACCCTAAACCCTAACCCCTAAACCCTCAAACCCTAAACTTAAACCTCAAACCCTCAACCCAAAACTCTATAGACCCTAAACCCCTAAACCCAAAACCCCCAGACCCTCAATCCCTATCCAACGTCTGCGGCGCGGACGATTCAGGCTGTGCCAGGGTGGGAGCTGGCGTGGGCTCCACAGCAGGCTGGGCCTGTTAGTTTAGGGTTTAGGGTTTAGGGCCCCGAAGTTAGGGCTTTAGGTTTTAGGGTTTGGGGTTTTAGGGTTTAGGGTCTAGGGCCCCGAAGTTAGGGCTTTAGGGTTTTCGGGTTTGGGGTTTTAGGGTTTAGGGTTTTAGGAGACCCACGTGCAAGCACTGCGGTCAGGGCTTTGGGGTCCTCCCCGGACGGCCGTAGCAGCAATGAGGGGGGGTCGTCTCATTTTAAGCTTTAGGGAAACTTGAAGCACTCGAAAGCGGATTTCCGCTGTTTTAGGACTTGGGCGGTTAGATGTGTTAGTTTTCAGGTTTGGGGATTTGGGGTCAGATAACTCCAGGTAGAAACTGATAAAACTCTAAAGGCAAACTGCGGCAGCATTCATGCGACAACAGCGTGAGCCTGCAAATCAAGCGTGCTAGCGAGCATACCTCCCGGAACATCTGCCCACAATCAGTCACAATCGTCGCGAGTACAATTCTCTTGAGCTCCATGTGCTTCCCATGTCGTGTCTTCAGGCTTCTCCATTTGCCGAGAAGATCTCTGAACCGGCCGAAGTTGGCACCAAGAAAGATCCGTTTTAAAGCGTCATCACCTACCTTGGAAAAAGCGCTTTTCTCGCTCTCGACAAGACAAGGAAGCCTATTACAGCTAGGCCCACTATTCAAAAACACCGAATAGAACCAGCAGAGTCCCCTGTTATCACAGCAAGCTCCAAGACCTGTCCCAAGCCTGTCCGCCGTCACAGCATCCCTAGGGTCAAAAAAAGGGATGTTCCACACGACTGGGGACAGATCTATGGTGCAAGTTCGCGAGCGTAGCTTACCCAAGCCCTCAAGCCCGGACCGAACCAGGCCTTACAAACGCCTAATCGCACTTTGCCCCAACTGCCGGGAACCCTAAGCAGGAAATGCCTCTGCAGCCTCGGGTAGCACTGGGACCTGGCAGCACTCTCCCCATGTGCGGCCCGTCGCCGGAGGCGCAGGGGTTTGGATTGTAGCTAGGCTGGGGCCCCAGCATTGTCTAAGAAAGAAACGGGTCTTCGATCCAAGTACAGAGGTGTTGTTTCGAGTGCTTCGGGTTTTAGTGGTTGGTGGCGGTTGCTGGGTCGTTGTCCAGAATAAGAGAGAAACTTCACGAAGTTCTGAAAAATGCACACCGCACGGTGGGTAAGCATGAGCAGAAGACTCGGACGAGCCTCCGTCTTGGACGTCTCCTTCGAGATGCTCTCCCAGAACCTACCGTCGTAGGTTTCTGGGACTTCCCAAGAAGAAACTGGTGGGGAGCCGGGTTCCTAAACCCCTAAACCCCTAAACCCCTGAACCCTAAACCCTGAACCCTAAACCCCTAAACCCTAAGGAGGCCTGTATGCATCCACATCGCTGGTATTCAGGATGTCGAGCGTGCTGCCCTCTTTGCCCTCCGTGCCGTCCTGCGGCTTCTGACAGCTGACACTTAAGATGGTAGTCGTAAACATACTACGATTAATAACAATAATGATAAACATAATAATACACCCTATTAAAATATGGACATCTGCATGAAGAGAGAGAGAGAGAGAGAGAGAGAGAGAGAGAGACCTTTCCGGGTCCGCCTTGAGGGCGAACTTGGGAAAGGCATTGCTCTTCAAGGCCCCATCAATGCAGGTCAAGAGCTTCTCGTCCGAAAGTGATTGCCTCCATTTGGGTAGTTCTCTAAATGAGGGTCCCGCTTTAGGCCCCCCAAAATAGTACGGCGCCCTTATGAAAAGAAGCCCCCAAAAGGGACCCTAAACTTAGGGAACTGCCCATTTCGCAGCTCCAGCGAGCTCAGACTTCCCTCCCGCTGCAGCCAGGCGACCCGGTAGCCATGAGCTTGCGAAGGAGCGTGTCCAGCAGCTCGTGCACCGAAGCCTAATACTGAACAACACTATTAACAATAATCTAATATTATTATTAATATTATGATTATTAATATTGCTAGTAGAGGACTACTACTATTATTACTCTGCCCAGCCCAAGCTGCGTAAACTATGCCAAGGTCTCTACATCCGAGGCAGAGGCTTCCTGCGGATCCACCTGCTTCGGCTGAAAAGCCTCACGGCATGAAGATAAGCCTAGCCATAGCCCCCCTAAGTAGTTCCTTTTTGGGATTGCCTTTTCGGAGTGAGTCTAAATATAAACCATAAAAAGGAACTACTTAGCGGCCTATGGGTAGCAAGTCTGGAACGAGAAAGCCGCGCCTCGAGATCGGCTAGCAAGAGTGCGCAGTTGTCCAGGTGAGCCTTGAAGGACTTCACCAAGTGGGCCTTGATGCGCAGTGTGGCTGCCACATTCCCATCTCCCTACCCTTCGATGCAGCTGCTAAGAGGCAGGGGCTCCGGCGTCGAAGGGTGGAGGCTTCTCTCGACATTGGGCCTCAGAAGTGCAATGTCGCGGCTGGCATGGCATACGCAGATGCTCCCCCAACGGTAACAGTGCCTTGATCGCAGCGGCAGCTGTGTTGAAGTGGCACAGGTCGAGGAACTGCGCTAGCAAGTCAAAGATGGCAGAAGAACCTTGGCAAAACAGCGTGCAACGCGGAATGGCTGCACTACGCAGGAACTCTATAAGGAATGCAAAGTTCACGGCAGTCATCCTGAGCATTGGGAAGGAGCGTCATCGCACCGAGGTCTTGAATCAGAACTAGGTACTGTAGCTGGGCTGGGCGAGCGAGGCCTGTGATTCCACTTGCGCATGCAAGATCTTCAAGTAAAACCTCACGTGCTGCTACTAGCGTGCCAACAAAGCTTTGCCTCACGATCGTCGATTTGTCTGTGTCTGATCTGATTGCCGCTTGCTTGAGGAGCAGATCGAACCGACATCTCTTCAAACAACATCTGGGGATTGTTCAAGCTCCAGCCTTCCAATTGCCAGGTAACATCTAGGATCATGATCTGGTCATGGTTCGACCGGAATAACTTGGAACAACCCCCATATCACGGCAACACAGATCACAGCCAGGGCGGGAGTACGTGCAAACTTGGATCGGTGCACCCTCCTCAGCTGGGGCCTATGCAGAGAGCCCAGGTCACGCCAATCGACATGTGGGAGTGGTATGATTCTACCTATAGTCTCCATTGTAGCCCTTTTTTGGGGTTACCTTGTAGGATCCTTAAGTACAAAACTGGCTAAACCAACAAAAAGAACTACAATGGAGACTACAGGTATATCAAAAATGTTCACAAATGCCAGGCCTCGTCCAGCAACCTTAGCTTCTTGACGCGGTTGGCGATGTCCTCCGGCACGCAAAACTTGAGAGGCAGACTCGCTCGACACCTGTATGATATGCATCAACCCGAAGAAACTTTCGATTGAAGAACTCCAACAAAGTCATGGCAGGTACATAGTAATCACGAGGGTACCTATAAACCTCCGCAATACCTTTTTGTTGACCCTTATGGCACCCTTCAAAGGACCCTATGATCCCAAGTATCATGGCAGAACTCTCCTGACCTCCCTAAACCCTCAACCCTGACTTCCCCTAAGGCTCAAAGTAGCCCAAAAGCCTTATATAGTATGGCCTTTGGGCCAAAAAGCCTTAAAATGTGAGTCCTTAGAGCCTTAGGGTTTCGGCATGTGCCAGCCTCCGCCTCTGGCATAGCTCCGGCATCCACCGGCGGCGCGGTGAGTGCCTGCTCCTTGACGAAGCTACTCAGAACCTGCAAGCCGACCAAAAAAGAGTCCGACAGCTTCGAGTCTTAGAGCTTAGGGCTCCGGGACTTTTTCAGAGGGCGCGTAGGGCTTGTAAGCGTGTAGGGTTTCTAAATTTATGTTTTCGGGGTCTTTGGAAGGGTTTTGGGCTCTCAAAGTAATAGATAGTCACTATCCCCTCATAACCCATAGTCATCCTATCCCCTCATAGTCATACTATCCCGTCATAGTCCCTACTGCTATCACAGTATAGCATACCCTTCCAAACCCTCTTCGAACTACGAAGGCCCCTATGTTACTATGATAACCCTCACCAGTACCTTTGCAGAATCCTCATTCAACTCTCGAAAGACTCTAGAAGGTGCCCTTAAAGGCACCTCTAGTCTAAGCATCAAAGCCCGTATACTAAACCAATAAAAAGTAACCCTTACACAGCCCTGCAGCAGAAACCCTCTTCAGAAATCGTAGTCTTATTGTTAACGCCCCTGCACAAATCAGAATCCTTCTCGATCCCGTTGAAGGGAACGCTATGATTCAGGCCTCTACATTACAGATATCGGACAGCTTTTTCCCCTACACCCTACTCCGGCTCTATCTTTCATGAATGTGGGCTCCCTCGTAAACTCTAAACCGCAAAACCTAAACCCTAAACCCCTTTAAACCGCTAAACCCTAAAACCCTAAACCCTAAACCCTCGCGTGGCGACGCCTCGCAATGTGTTGCATGTACATATAGCTCACTCGATCCAACTTTGGATGCGCGATGTTGGTCGAGTTGAGGTGACTCCCTTTTCCTTCAAAAGAAGCGGGCTTCCTTCAGAGCCTGGTGCTCTGTACAGGGCAGCAGTTCCGGGATTGACTTTTTCGCCCCATGCAAACTGCCCAGTGCACCGTGTTCAGGCTCCAGTCGGAAACTCGAGAATCAGCGGCTCACCCTGGTCAGTGTGCACCAAGGAGAGCGGTCCATCAATACGCTGGAGATGAAAGCCAGAACGAATCTGGTAAATGAAATAGCCTTCTGCGTCACACTTGCTGTATGCAAGACCCATGTGACCTCCGTCCATCGTGTAGAGATGACCCAGGGCCGACTCCAACTCGACATGAAAGTCGCCTTTGTACGTGAACAAAGTAAAAGGCACAACATATGCCTTCACTGTCATCATTGGGGTGAAAGCACCATCTTGGCTGATGCCGAAGTACAACCCAGTTGTCGGATCACTCAAGAGGACGTCGAAATCCACAGCTAGAAACGATAAAGATCTCTTTAGTGACGGCTTTGACTCTTGTTTCCAGCAGAGGATGATGGCGAGCAACATCAGCCGCTGCAGGACCTCGGCTCTGGCATGGCTCCGGCTTCAGGCCAAGCCGAGAGCGCATGTGCTGGGCAACTCATCATGCGGAAGCAAGGGTCTGTCGACGGAGCTCAGACTGATCTCAAACGGATTTCCTTCTTCTGCCCATCAAGGAAACTTCATCCATGCTATCTAGGCACTGCGGCGGCTGCAACCGCGCCGAGCACCAGTATGTGGCAAAGCAGGAGCTTGATGGGCCGCGTCATGGCCCTGATCTGGTCTGCTATGTCCGACTTGCAACTGTGCAGAAGTGGCACGTCTGATCAGAAACAGCTACGAGAAGGGTCCTGATGTGAAGCCATGCATGGACGTGGCGAAAAGAAGCCAAAGTGGTCTGATCGCCGTATGTACTACTCTCCTCAGCTTCAGGGCAGGTGGTGCAACTTGCAGCAGCCTGTGGCACAAGGACAGCACATTCATCAACGGGGGAGGGGTGGGGGATGGGGTCGCGTCCATTTAAGGCCCCTCCTAAACACTAACCCCAAAACCCCTAAACCCTGAACCCCGAAACCCCTTTCCCCTAAACCCTAAACCCTAAACCCCTAAACCCTAAACCCCTAAACCCCTAAACCCTAAACCCTCGTCATGTAAGGCCCCACCGGCCTCGACCAGGCTGCAGGCATCTTTGGGCTTCTCGGCCTTGGGAAGCTTCAGCCTTTAGGGATATTAAGGGGTTAGGGTCTAGGGTTTAGGGGTTTTAGGGTTTGGGGTGTTAGGGTTTAGGGTTTTAGGGTTTAGGGGTTTAGGCTTTAGGGGTTTAGGGTTTAGCGGTTTAAGGTTTAGGGGTTTAGGTGTTGGGGTTTAAGGGAAGAGGGTCACCAAGGGAAAGGACCAGCTCGGTTCCCCAAAGAGTTTAGAAGTTGAGGGTGCCGGTGTGTGTGTGTGTGTGTTTTTTGTTTTTGGGGGGTGGTGGTTAGGTCTTAGGGTTTAGTTGAAGTGCTGTATGGCTTCCGGATTTAAGGGTTTCAACTAAGGGTTTGTTCGGATCGGTTTCTGAGTCCGACGGCCACCACTCTGTCGATGACCTTGCCCAGGTGTGCATAGACGTCCTGCAAGGAAAAAGGCTTGAAGCCTGCAAGGTACTACGGTTGATGACATAAATCCTGCATTACCCATAATAAGGAATATACCATACCTAAACCCCCGAAAGTAGGTAAAATAATGGACCCAAACCCATAAAAGGCTATTATTCTACATACTTTGGGGGTCCAGGTAGTTCCCATAGTTTAGGGTCCTTAAGGTAACGCAGGATTTCTATCATCAACAGTAGCGGGGCCTGGAGAAGCAGAAGAAGGCTTTGGGAGAGTATATTCATGCATAGTCATAGAGGCTCCATAGTAGTTCCTTCTTGGGATTAGCTTATAGGATCCTCTATATATATATATAAATATATAAATATATATATATTTATTTATGTTTATGTTTATGTTTATGTTTATGTTTATATTTATATTTATATTTATATTTATATTTATATTTATATTTATATAAACACCACAAAAAGGAACTACTACGGAGCCTCTGGGTAATCATAGAGGCGCTCTCGGGGATGCTAATTGCGACCACGGGCCCCTGGCCTCTTTCTTGAGGTAGGCCAAGTCAGCATCCACAGTGCCCATCTGCACGGTTAAGGTTTAGGGTTGGTTTAGGGTTTAGGGTTTAGGGTGGCCAGTGGGGACCAGTTCTCAAAAGTGCCACGTACACCCCAGAGCCTCCTCGGATCCAGGGATTCCACCACCTTTTCATCCAGGACTCAAGCAAATACATCGGGTCTTATGTTGTGTATGCTACTTCATATACATACCCATAGGCTCCATAGTCGTTCCTTCTTGTGGCTTTTCTTTAGGATTCTATAAGGTAGTCCCAAAAAAGGAACTACTATGGAGCCTCTGGGTATACAAACCCGAAACCCTAAACCCTGAACCCAAAACCCTAAACCCTGAACCCTAAACTCTAAACCCTAAACCCTGAGCCCTAAACCCTAAACCTATACACCTTATATGCTAAGGATTCGATCAGCCGGCAGGATGACGTCATGGAGGCCCCCGGCCTCCCCCGGAAGCTTTCAGCAGCTTTCAGGTTCCGCTGCTGTCTTCACGAGCCGAAACGGAAAGAGCCCGCAACTGTGCACAGGAAGCTTGAGATAAATAAATAAATAAATGTATATATAACTACACCTTTATCTCTCTCTATATATGTACAATATGTGTGTGTATGTATGTATATGTATATATATATATTTTTTTTCACAAGGGCACTGAACTTGAAGTCAAAAGCTCTTCTGCAACGACAGGAACGGCATGAACTGACGCTTTTTCCACCCCGATCCGGCAGTCATACGGCAAGCTCCAGCACACAGCATGGGATGTATGGCGTCGACGGAGTGTGGTGGCCTCCCAAGTCGGTTCGGCAGAGCTGATAAGAGCTTGACACGGTAGCTCGCCCGAGCTGCAGACGGGCACATCGTGCCTACTGCTCCCAGAGGAACTCCTGCAGATGAAGTGACGGCATCATAAACCTGCTATGCTAAACCCACCAAGTGGTGCGGGAATGAGAAATGCGGCAAGAAGAACCTGGCAAGCATCACCATCACCATCGCCATCAGCAGCATCAGCATCATCAACAACAACATGAAGGCACGTACACCACTCGCCGACCCGAAAAGTCGTGCCATGTAGGGAACGCATGTGACTGGCAGTGTGGTTGCGGCACAAAGAGGCCCAAAAACAAGGTAAAAAACAACCGTTTTCTGGCATATGCATGTGGTCATACTTTGCATGCGGGGGCATGGCGGGTTGGCCAAGAACGGAATCAAGGCCGCCACCCCCCCTAGCCCCCACCCCCCCACCCCAAGCTAGACAACCCGGCAATACCGAGAAAAACTTTAACACACACAGCAAAAGCACCAGTCAGTAGGCTTTGGTCATGGATGCTCCGCCCTTCCCAAATCGCAATAGACCACGGACGTCATTAGGCTTTGGCCATGGATGCTGTGCCCCCAAGACAAAAACCCGACAAAGGGGAAGGCAAACAACGGCCGCAACCCCCCTTCACGACCTCGTACCGTGTTGCACCCGACGAAGACACCTTTTCGACAACATCATAAACCAGAAAATGCTACTTCGCGGACCCCTCTCGTATCCCCAGCAACCGCCGAAAGGTGCATACCTTTCGGGGCGGCGAATGGCGCACATGGCAACAACCACCGCCACCGCCACCACCACCGCCACCGCTACCGCCACCCCCACCACCACCACCCCCACCACCACCACCGCCACCACCACCACCACCACCATCACCACCACCACCACAAAAACAACGACATCTAAAGCCATAGCACAATGCAGGGAGAACACAACGAATATTGCGGACGCGGTCACTACGCTGTCCATGATATCCTAGTGAGAACCCAGAGTTGCATTACCCCCAGCAACGCAGCCAACGGCAGCAAGCAACCATTCAAATTGCAAGCACAAGCACAATGCCCAAGGACAGTTCTACGAAAGGCGAACGCAACCAAGCCATGCTCTGCTGAGACAAGCACATTTGGGATCTTGCAAGTAAGGCTTTCTGGAATTCCCCCCTACAGGGACCCTTCTCAAGCCCAAACAGAGGATCAACACGAGGAAAAGAACTGCTCCAGGCCTCCTCCGCAGCTTCGCCCTCCTCCGCAACAGCAGGAAGCTCCGGTTTAAGAGCTTACCCATAGGCTCCATGGTAGTTCCTCTTTGTGGCTTATATTTGGGATCCTATAAGGTAATCCCAAAAAGGAAGTACTATGGAGCCTATGGGTAGAGTTCGAAAGAGCTTTGCCGGGTTTCAGGCGATTGTAGAGGAGAGTTTTGAAGGTCGCTGCGAAGGCTCTTTGGATCTTCACTCTCGGATGTGTGGTAAGTTCTCTCTGGCTCAAAACCTTCTCGTCTTTTTTTGGTCAAGGAGGTGATGGTGATGACGTGATTACAGCCAGTACCACAAAGAACAACACGCAGGTTTTTTCTGACCCTCCATTTAGCATCATGCTGGTTCACTGTTTCACCACTGCCCTGACCACTTTCACGGGCATTCCTAAAACTGTTATTGTTGCCGGCGCTGCCATCATTCACGGTAGGACTTCAGAAAATGATTGCTATTGTATTTACATTTACCTGCGACACCCCGGCTCTCAGGTTTCTCGCTCGTTCTCAGCGCTCTGGCTTCTCATTCGCATGTGTCGCAACATCTTCTGTCTTCCTGTTCTTGCCATCAGCAGTTAAAGCCGCCGTGATTATTTGTAACTGTGAACTTGGTATTTAGTTTCAGTCTTCACTCGTCATAACACCATGACGAGCCTGATGATTGCTAGCAATGTGATCACAATGGTCACAGCCACTATGTAGCACCGCAACCATTCAGACCATGTTTGGTATTCAGGATCTTTGTGCCTTCAGCACCATTGCGGCCAATGGACCCTTGTGAACAGTACGCTTCTCAATCTTTCGTGCAGTTGGTTTGGAAAGGGCGGAAGTGCCATGCTGCCGGCATGGCACACCCAGAGATGCACGATCACTATCAACGATCCGTCGACTCTGCGGCACATTGCTTGGCCTTGGAAAAACCGAAAAAACCCTCAAACTCCTCAACCCCAAAGGCTCTACATTCCTGAACCCCTCAAGGCTCTAAAAGCCCTAAGCCCTGAAGCCCGGCAACATCCCCAAATTGATTTAGGGCTTAGGGCCTTTAGGGTTTAGGGTGTACCTATAGTCTCCATTGTAGTTCCTTTTTGGGATTACTTTCTTGGATACAAAACTGGTTAAACCAAAAAAAGGAACTACAATGGAAATTACAGGTAGGGTTAATTGATTCAAGACTAACCCTAAACCCCCAAACCCCTAAACCCTAAACCCTAAAACCCTAAACCCCTAAACCCCAAACCGAAATTTCTGGAGACTGCCGGCCTCCTCGGGGATCTCTGACCAGTCCAGGGTCTCTCCGTCCTCGCAGCGCTGCATCACCGGAGGTCCCATTAGGACTGCTTTTTAGGGTCGCTGTTTTTTTTTGGGTTTATAAGGTTTAGGGCCGTTTAGGGCCGTTTAGGGTTTAGGGGTGTAGGGTTTAGGGGTTTAGGGTTTAGGGTTTTGGGGTTGAAGGCTGCGTCACCGCAAGCAGGAGTTGGGTGCAGGATCTGGATCCTTTCCTGACCTTATGCTCTGGTGGTTCACCTAATTACATGCCAGCAGCTTCGCTGGGAGAGGAAAGCTGCATTTCGCCGTTGACCCAGCTGAGGTTCAGTGATGAAATGTACTGGACGGATGACCTTACGATTTAGTCTGCTGTGTGATCCTCGGTTCAACAAAGGTTTCACTGCAAAAACGGTCGACATTTTTACACTCCATGCGCTCAGTCGTGAACAGCACAAACAACATCAAACACCTAGATGCAAGAATGACTACGCATATGCAGCCGAGTACATACGCACACATACACACACAAAAGTACTCACCCTGCACATGAGCATCAGCACTAACAACAAAGCAGCCAGCAAACACCCCGCTGTGAAGGTCCCCGAGCACTGCGTGGGCCCGCAACGACGGCACTTGAAAAAGCTGCGAGTTTAAGCCCCGGATGCCATCAAACATCAGGGCTGATCCTTTGTTGGCATGGAATCACAATTCGAAGGTTGCGTAAAGCTCTGTACCAACTCTCGTTCTTTTCGTGTACTCTCTCGGCTCGCTGCCCCTGATTGCTTGAATTCTAGGAGTTTTTGAACCCTGAAGGCCCCAAACCCCTAAACCCCTGCAGGCCCTAAACCCAAAAACTCCTAAAGTTTCTAAACCCCTGAAGGCCCTAAACCCTTAAACCCGGAAGGCCCTAAACCCCCCTAAACCCCAAAGCCCTAAGCCCTAAGCCCTAAACCCTAAACCCCTAAACCCCTAAACCCTAAACCCCTAAACCCTAAACCCTATATTCCTTAATTAAGGGTGTTATCGGGTTCTCCAATTTGTTCCTCGGCCACCTCCCATTCGCCATCCTCGAGCTCGGGCTCCTGGCCCCAAGGCACGCTCCCTAAACCCTAAACCCTTGAAGTTTTAAGGGTTTAGGGGGCTCCGAGCCCGAGGAAGGGTTTTAGGGCTTTAGGGGTTTAGGGTTTTTGGGTTTAGGGGATTTGGGGGTTTAGGGCTTTAGGGGGTTTTGGGGTTTTAGGGGGGTTTAGGGTTTAGCGGTTTAGGGTTTATAGGGGGTAGGATTTAGGGGTCTAGGGTTTAGGGGCTTAGGGGTCTAGGGTTTAGGGTTTAGGGGTTTAGGGGTTTAGGGGTCAGGGTCTCCCTAACCCCGAAACCGGGTTTGGGGCTTCGGGTTTAGGGTTCCAGCCGTGCAGAAAAACTTGTTAAGGGTTTCGGGTTCTAGCATAGCATAGCATCGCGGCACAGTGCTGCGTAGTATGCCACAATACGGTATAGTCAAGCTTAGCTTCGTTCCAGTCTGGGGCAGTCAAACAGTCAAGGGCAATTTAGGGGCATAGCAATGGTACAGGCCCCTCAACGGAAGGATCCGTGCTGCAAAGACCCTAAGCCCAAGGCCCCTTCGAAGAGCACCACCCTTGCTCCTCACCGGTCTTTTGCCGCTTCGCACTCTTCCCAGCCTGATAAACATCACAGACACCGATTCTGCTTTGTCAGGCTCTTCTCTGTGCTGCTTCCTTGATGGATTTTGACTTTTAGGTACTGACTGTAGCACAAAAACATGTGTGAAGCAACAGTGCCTTCATCATCCATGAAGATGATCATCATCTTCGTCATCATCAGCAGCAAGTCATCGTCACCACCATAGCAACCCTTCGACTTTGCTTCGGCAAGATATGTGATGTTCATGCACATGTGTGTGTGTATATGTGTGTATACAAAAACTTTTATACATATATAATATAGACACTACATGCATTGCACTGACGCCTTCAGCTTGAAACTACGGGAGCCGCTGGCCGGCTTGTGGATTCTGGCGGCACGCGTGGATCCGTTCCTGAGATTCCGACGCCCTTGCCTCTGTTGCGTCGCTTGGCGAACTTTTTCCGATGCATGTCAGCCTCGGCGCACTGCTCGTGTTGGGCGTGGGTGAAGATCTGCTAAAAAGTGCCAAAGGGCAAATTTCTGGCACGCGAGTCTGAGCCACTTAAGCGGATGCTCGATGACGGATGCCTGGACTCAAAGCTCTTGCGCAAAAGGCTGGAGGTCGAGAAATCAATGCCTGGGTAGTTCTCTGAATTAGGATCCCTTTTTATCAAAAGGACCCCAAACGGGACCCTAATTTCGAAAACTACCCGCCTCCTGTTTGAGGGTTTCGAGCACCTTCAGCTGCGTCTTCTCATCGACCTTGGAAGCTGCAGGATGATAGTACACATCCTGTTGCCCGTCTTTCCATGTGTTTTGGGGAGGACTGCGTGCGTGACCGAAGAAACTGTCATCGTGAAGGTGCCGATGCAAATCTTTCAGTCTTCTCGTTGAACAAAAGATGCAACATCATGTCACCACTAGCACCAGCTATGCGGAATCAACAGCTTCAGCGATAGCTTGAAAACTCAAGTGTTATAGTCACCAGTACATCCTACTTGAAGAGATACCCCTCACATGCTCAAGAAGGATGTCCCGAGGGCCATGCAAGGTCCAAGTGACTCTTGGCCTCTTCGTAGCTGAAATTTGAAGCTAGTCCTGGATCAAGTCACGAGACTCTGCAAGGACTGTTCCACCTGCACAAAGCAGTCAATATCTCTGGCAAGTCGCCTCCATGCTTGTTGACGAAGGCTACGGTTCTTGCCACTTTCTCTTCGGAGGCTGTCAGCCTTGGTATTGAATGCGAAGCAATGTTCCTGCAGGCTAAAGAAAAAGCTAATCCAAACCTGCTCCGGAAGAGCTAGGGCGGGCGCTTCCCTTTTCGCCCTTTGCTTCCGGCTTTGCCATTAGCGCCCTTGCTCTTACCGGCGCCATGGCCTTTGCCGTTATTTCCAGCACCATTACTGGTGCTGTGGCCTTTGCCATTCCAAGACGAAGACTGGTACTGGTTGCTAAACTTACTACCAGTACCATTCTTCGTCTTGGCCTTCCCCTTTCCCTTCGCCTTCCCTTTGCCTGGACGGCATGCACTGACCAGACAAAGCGGCGAGATCACCCCTGCAGCCGGTCTCTTGCCTTTTCTCTTGTCCTGCATCTTTCTAGCTTCGCGCCGAACGAATCCCCTTGGCAGGCATGGTCTGAACAGGCACTGCAGAACTTGATGTGAGAACAACTATCTACTGCAAGAGCCACAGCTACGATGGTGACCTCGACCACTACGAGTACCACGACGACAACGACAAAAGGTGCTGACGGAGGCAAGGGCGAAAATAAGAAAGCTAATGGCAGCGACAACAAACGCCATAAATACAAAACGATATCAGCAGCAACAGCCATCGCAAAAGCATTTGCAGCAGTTCAGTAGCATGCGCAGCAACGGGAACAGCAACAACCGTCGTCGCAGCAGCAGCAGCAGCAGCAGCAGCAGCAGCCGCAGCGGCACCGGCACCGGCACCGGCACCGGCACCGGCACCAGCACCAGCACCAGCACCAGCACCACCAACGACAACCAACAACCGACAACCAACAACCCACACACTGGAACCCACATGCCACTAAACCGGCAAACCGGCAGCAAACCAGCAGCAAACGAGCAGCAACCCAACAGAAACCCAACAACAAACCAGCAACAACCCAACATCAAGCCAGCAGCAGACCAACAACAAACCAACAGCAGACCAACAGTACAACAGCAAAGCAAGCACAAACCAAAGAAAGACGCAAATGAACCATAAACAAAAACGACGACGATGACGACGACGTCAGCGACTAGAACGAGAACAAGAGGAAGAAGAAGAAGAACCACCACCACCACCACAACAACAACAACAACCACCACAACAACCACCACAACAACCACATCAACCACCACAACAACCACATCAACCACCACCACAACAACCACCACAACCACAACCACAACCACAACCACAACCACAACCACAACCACAACCACAACGACAACCACAGCCACAGCCACAAGCACAACAACAACCGCAACAACAGCCACAACCACAGCCACAACCACAACAACCACAACAACCAGAACAACCAGAACAACCAGAACAACCAAAACAACCACAACAACCACAACAACCACAACCACAATGACAATCACAACCACAACAACCATCACCCCAACAACCACAACGATCACGACCGCGACCGTGACCGCGACCACGACCACAACCACAACAACCGTAACAACCACCGCCACCGCCCGCCCCGCCAGCCACCGCCCACCACCGCCACCACCAACGCAAACAACCACAGCAATCATCGCGGCAACCACAACAACCACGACCGTGAGGCCATCAACAAACAGCAGCAGCAAGAACAGATAACGATTCCACGGTTCTGATGATGCAAGCATGTTCTGAGTAATACTCACAACATACTATGTAGATGTAGATATTGTCTCAATACTGATACTGTCCCAGTCCCAATGCATCCGACGAAGTCTGAAATGTTCGTGTCCACGATGCAGCTCTGCTGATCATCTAAGCTGTAGCACGTCTGCCAACGGGCCAGGCACCTAGCTGTCTTGCCGTCAGAGTCCTGACGCTGCACTTGGGCACGATCTGGACTTAGGCGGAGCTTGCTGTAGCCGAAATTTGAGGTCCCTTTGCCACACAGCCGTTGACTTGCCCCACTCGCAGTGCAGCACCCGCAGAGGCGGAAACACGTTAAAGCGTCTCCAAGCGGGGGTCTGCAGACGATGTCGACAGGGAGCACGTTCGGTTTGAGGACGGCTGTGTGGACAGATTCCAGTCGAAGCAGCCGGGGCTTAGGGTTGAGGGCTTCAGGGCTTAGGGTTTAGGGGTTTAGGAGTTTATGGCTTTGGGTTTAGGGCTTCAGCGTGAGGGTCAATTTCCCAGTCTTGCCAGTGAGGCGCTGCGGACTCTCAATCTCCTCGGCTTGCTCCACCAGGGACTTGAGGACCTCCGGCTGTTCGTTTTGAGGGGGGCGAAAGGGGTCTAGGAAGTTTGAGTGTGTGACGCCCTGGTAGCGTCTATTTCTCGGGAAAATTAGGAGTCGTCACTCGAGTTTTTACACTTAGATTTGAAAGTATACACGAACATACACGCCGCCAGTGCGTCATATGGCATCATGTTCTGGGAAGTTTAGGGTTTTCAGGCTGTGGTCCGGGTAGCAGGGGCAGGGCATTGACTGGGAGTTTCTGAGCCAGATACCTGCAAAGCATCTGAATGTTGGAGATCCTGCAGGATGGCAAGGACCTCAGTTTGTGTCACAGTACCCGACATCTGCATGTCAAAGACGGTCAAAGTAAGCTCGAGGCATTTCCCATGTGAAGGGGAAAAGCGAGGGAGATGTTGGTGTTTATCCATCGGATCCGCCTGACATGACAGCTAAATCCTAAATCCTAAACCCTAAAACTTCTTATCTAACCCGAACTGCTCTCACGTATGGAGGATCTCCAAAGGATCAGAGCCAGACCTCATCAGGATGCCGATCTGTTCAGCAATCTTCTTGCCGGCATCTCCGTGGCCGCTTTCGAAAATTTTCCTTAGTCGCTGAGATAAGCTTCAGGGCTTGAGCAAGAGTCTGTGCTGGGAGTTGGGGTTTATAGCATTCAGGGTTTACGGGATTTTCCGATATTTTCCGGCTGATGGGATTACGGTTTGAGGGGCCAAGCCTCAGGACAATGCGTTCCCATCTCAGTGCAGCCAAGCGTCTTGGAGGCATCAGCGATCAGGGCGTTTGGCTTGTCTACCATGTCGGCAGTGCTCTCAACGTCCTCTCTCCCCACAGCTGCAAGCACAGATCAGAGCCACGCAGTCAGATGGATGAAGTGGACCAAATGAGCAAATTCTACAAGCCCCGAATATCCCATCAACATCCCTGAACCAAAGACCCTGTTAGACCCCAAACCCCCAAAACCCCAGAATGACCTCTGAAGCACCTAGAAAAAGCCATTAAACCCTATACCCTACACACCCTAACACCCTACAAACCCTAAACCCCCTATACCCCATACACCCCAAAAATTTAAAAAAAAAGTATAAAAAAAATATGCACCCCTAAACACCCTATAAACCCCCTCTACACCCCCTATGCACCCTAAACCCCGAAGCATCGCCTTGAGGAGCTGCATTGCGATGGGCTCAGAGAGGCGGGCCACGTTCCGACCCACCTTCGCCAGGTCGATCTTCGTGCAAAGCCTGGGAGGCTTAGGGCTTTAGGGCTTTGGGGGCGGTTTAGGGTTTAGGGGTGTTGGGGGTGTTAGGGTTTAAGGGGGTTTAGGGCTTAGGGGTGTTCGAGTTTAGGGATTTAGGGGTGTTAGGGTTTCGGGGTGTTTGGGTTTAGGGGTTTAGAGGTTTATTTGGGGATTAGGGCTTTACGGTTTAGGGGCCTGGGAGCGTACTAAGGCCGGCCAGGTTTTTTTTTATTTTTGTGGGTTTTTAGGTTGTTGCCTTTCAAGTTTGAATGGCTCAGGAGATTCTAGGGATTGATACACCCCCTAAACCCTAAACTCCAAACCTTAAGCCCTAAACCGTGAGGGGGTTGGAGCTTCCGGAGTTCGGTTGCAGGGAAAGAGCCAAGAAGCGTTCCGGACTTGTTCATCGAAAGGATCTTGTTGTGAACCGCTGGGATCAGCTTCGGGGTGTCCGCCCAATCTCCCTCCTCTGGGGGCTTCGGGGCTTTGGGGCTTTTAGGGCTTACCTAAACCCCCAAAAGTAGGTAAAAGAATGGCCTCAAACCTATGAGAGGCTATTATTTTTCTACATACCCTAAACCCTAAACCCTAAACCTCTACATGCTTTTGGGGGCCCAGGTAGGGGTTTAGGGGCAACAAGGCCTCCTCTGGCTCTCCCTCCTCTGCTTCTTCCCAGTCACCGGCACCTTGGCTCCAGGCCTCCGGGGTCTCAAGAAACAGCAGAAGTATGGCTAGAGTATATAGTGGTCTTCTCTTGTGGTCTGCATACCATATATATATATATACATACAGATATATACAGATATATACATATAGATAGATAGATTGATAGATAGATAGAGAGAGAGAGAGAGAGTCAGAGAGAGAGAGAGAGATAGATAGATAGATAGATGTGTGTATATATACATATATCTCTATATATATGTATATAAGTACATATGTATATATATGTATATATGTAAATATATGTAAATGTATTTATATATATGTATATATATATAAATATATAAATATATGTAGATAAATGTATATATATATATACATANNATATATATATAGAGAGAGAGAGTCTGATATACCACGGAAACTCTACGCACTCGACTTCTTCGCCTCTTCTTGGCCCTCCTCCTCGGCCTCCGCCTCTGCTGCCTCTTGGCCCTGGGCCTCCTCAGCAAAGGCATCTGCCGCCTGTCTTGGGG